TTGATGCATCTTGTGGCCCTTCAGCTTTGGAGACCCTGGATGAAGGCACCAGCGCAGAGCCCGGCAGCCACATCCCTGTCCCCATCCTTGGCAGGATCTGTCCCTCCGGCCACCGCAGGGACGTCACCAGCACCCGCATCCCGCGGAGCGTCACCTTCCCGCACGGCACCCGCGTTTGGCTGCTCATCTTCACCTGCAAACTTTGCAGCCAGAAAGGAACAGCAGGGAAAAATAAACGTGTCCGGGCCGACTTCCACGTTTAAAAGTATCCCGTGTCTTTAAGGCCGTGAATTTTAAAAAGGCACGTAATTAGCAGCGGCTTCCTCGTCTGCATTCCCCTCGCCTGCCTGCCCGCATAAACATGCGGCACACAGCACTTCCAGACACTTTTTAATAGAATCGCTTAAAACAATTAATTACCAGAGTTTTCATTCAAGCTGCAGTGGAAAAGATACGCCGGCAATAAAAGGCATTTATTCGCCGGTTTCTGGAGGCCTGTTTGTTATTAACATGTAAATTAAATCATCACAGATGTTCCATTTTTAATCTGGGGATGTGAAGTGCAGGGCTAACCACGGCCCAAACAGCCTGATTTTATTACACACACATTCATTAGGAACCAGCAGTATTATTGGATATCATTTTTCTTTGATGCATTTTTTAAACCAATTATCGGTATAATTTGTTCATTTCCCTCCCTATTTGTTTTTCTCCTGCCATTTGTGCCAGGATGCTCCGACGCAGGGCGCTGGCTCGGGATGCCCAGAGCTTCAGGGCACGTCCTGAGCGGAGGCAGGAGCCGGAGCAGCCGGGGATCCGTGGGGAAGGTCTCCCAGTTCTCCGTGTGGGGCTGTCCCGCTGGGCTCGGCTCCCCAGCCCCAGGAGAAGCTGGAAATGCAAAGGGTTTGGGTTGCACCGAGCTCCCCTTGCTGCAGGGATCTGGGCCAGAGCTGATTCCGGTGTTAAAAAGTGGATTAGTTTTAACTGGAAAACCTCCTCCTTCCTCGTGCGCTTCCTCCCGGGACGTGCCGGGACAGTGGGGGGCACCGCTCTCCTCTGCAGAATTTAACCAAAAGCTCGGGCTGGTTAGCAAATGCACTTGAATTTTTGGACTAGTTTGTTCTCCATTTTGCAAAAAAAATCCTCCCATTTTTGCACACCAAGCATTTCACTCTCAGAGATTTGCCATGGGAGCAGGAAAAAGCTCTCCAAGGAGGGAGAAGAGGCAAGCAGCAGGGTTGGTTCCTGCGGGAGCCGAGCTCGGAGCCGCCGCCGTGGCGCAGACCCGCCGGAGCTGCCGGAGCAGGAGCTGCTGCCAGCAAAGGGAATCTTGGAGGTTAGATGGAGACAGAAATGATGGATGTGTCAAACAACTGCTCCTTGACCACGACAGCTCACGGGCAGATCTCGACAATTTAAATGCCGTTAAAACCATTAATGCCAACAACAGCCCAAGCCACCGGGACGCGGCAGCGGGAAGCGGGCGTCCGTCTGCACAGAAATGGGGGGCAGCGTGCGAGGAAGTTCACGCAAATCACCTCTCTCGGCGTCGTGCATTTAAGAAATATTGCAGTAACGAGGAATAATTCAGAGGAGCTGTCGAGGCGACTGCAAGAGGGCTCACTGCAAACCAATGGAATGTTCTCCAGTCTGTCTGCTCCTTCCGTCTCAGCTTGGTGGAGGTTTGAGCCCAGGCTGCGAGGTGAAAAACGGGGCAGAATCGGAGGTGCAGGAAGGCAGCAAGACCTGCAATGGGCAGGTGGGCAATGCAGGGAAGTTTTCTTATCTAAGGAAAAAGCAAGTGTGGTGAGCTTGTGAAATACGCACATGTTGCTCATTTTCACCTTGAAGAGTTTCCTAACATGAAGATGGAAGTTTTCTAGCCGAAGAAAGTAGCATTTCATCCTGTCCTGTCCTTCCCGTGAAAACAGAGGCATTTCTCTAGGATACCCTGTAGGTTTCTGTCGGGATCACATTTGCAAGGGTTCTTGGGGAAGGGGACGGATGCCCCCGTGGTGCCTCTTTCCCCGGCGAGGCTCGGGCTCCCCTTCCCGCACCCCATGTCCTTGCCCCGATAACTGCTGCCAAGGTCAGGGGGAAACCTTGCAGTGGCCCAAAAAAGTCCTGAAAATGCTTTCAAGGTAAAAATCCCGTATTTGACAGAAGCCTTAGATACCTTGAGGCCTCCTATTGATTCCCCGGGAGCAGAGAGCACCGGCGCTTTGAGCTGTCAGAGTTCCCGGCATTTCTGAAAACGATAGAAGACTGGAACAAAAACACAACTAAGGCTCCTGACACAGTGTGTTAAGCAATAAAACATGTTTAATTGTGTTGTCTTAAGGCTATAACCACTCACTGGCTGAAGGTCACCCACTCCCCGTGCCGCCGGGAGGGAAGAGGTGCTCTGACAGGTGGGATCCAAATAGGAAACAGATATCCGTGCGATTAAGGCGCGAGTGACACCGAAATGCCAATGCTGGTGCAGCTGAAGGAAATAGGAGGAGAGACAGGCAGGACGTCTCCTGGCCAGCAGATCCATACGGGGGATGCTATGGACAGCCTGCGAGCAGGGACAGGACGGGATTCGATCCAGACCCCCCTTCCTGCCCGGGAACGCGGGCTCGCGCGCTGGGGGTCACTGCGCTCCGCACGTCCCCGGGCACTTTCGGGTGGGACAGAAAGCTGCGTCCAGCCCCGGGCACCTGCATCCCGCAGCATCCAGCCCGGAGAGCTCCTGGCTCGCGAGGTCTCCCCTAGGCAGGCGGCCAAGGGAGCGTGCCTGGGAGCAATTCCCTTCAACAGTTCATTAACCGCCTTAATAAAGTGGCCAAAACTAACGTTTCCTTCCACACGGCTCTGGACGTGACCCTTTGGATCGCGCCCTGGCTGTCTAGAGAAGCCAGGTCCTCTGTACAGGGAAGCTCCTGAAATGGGAAGAAAGTGAGAGTGAGGGAAAGGCTGGCGCTGGATGCACAGCCAGTTTCTTGCACCGAGGACAGGAAAGAGCCTGGAGTGACGGGATGGACCAGGAGGGAGAGGGCAGATTGGCAGGGTCAGTGTAGCTACCCAGTTGCCATTTGGAAGATCCCGTCTTCCTTGAATCCAGAGCAATGGACAGGAGCAAAGCGCCGTAAGGGCAGTGGACAGACCGCCTGCGAGCTACGATCCTCATCTGGAGATTTCTCAGCACAAAGGAATTTCGTTTGTTGTAATTAGAGGCATCATAACCATAAAGTGAGGATTCGGGAAGAACGTTCAAGCATTTCTGCCCTTTGCGCAGGCGCTGCCTGGTCTCTGCATGGTCCATGTGAACCTACTTCGCTCCGTGGGCCCCGTTGCCTTCTGTGTGACAGGGGCCCCTCCATCTGGAAAAGGTTTGAGGTGCCTCATGTTTAACGAGGAACAGGAAAGATTGGGCTGCAGCACGGTATTTAATTATTAGGGTATTTTTGCTCTGGCTGCATCCTTTGCCTCTCCATGCGGGAAGTGCCAAATTACATGTCACCTTGGAGGGCATATTTTCTGTAGTTTGCCGAGCTCCTACAATGGCAGCTCATGAATATTTACTGAGCTCCTCAGATATGCAGCAGGGGGAACAAATAAAAAAACGCTCGTATTTGCATCTCCCACAGACACTAACAAACCATGTGGCTCTGGTAGGGAGAAGATGGGAGATTGCTGTTGCCTTTCCAGAGGGATAGAGAAAACAGCTTCTCGTATAATGAGATTGACTTTTAAATTGAAAGTGTTACTGGTTGTGCTGCAGTTCATACTTCCATGCTGCGCATTTACTCCCTAGGCTCTAACATTAAGACATCTTATGTACAAGCTGGGAGGATTCAATTAGAGTTTCTGTTATTAATCAATCAATTAAGCCACCGTCTTTGGTATATACATTTTCGCTCCTAAAGAGGTGAGGCGCTGGCAGTGCGAGCGGGAGCCCTGGGGACAGCGCTCGGCTGGGACGCGGCCGCAGGGGACGGCGCTGCCGGGGTGGCCGTGCTCGGGCCGGAGCCCCGGGAAGGGCGGCAGGGCCTGCCGCTCCCCCTGGGCACCGCGCGGGAGACCGGAGC